AAAAAAAAAAAAAAAAAAAAAAAAAATAAGAGAAAAACGCTACTTTGCGAAAGCTTCGAGTTTCAAGGATTTATATTTAGCAACAGATTGGAACGTATTTGAAACCATGCTCCAAGTATCTGCGCCGGAATCGAGTGTTTTGTGTTGGACATAGTGTAAGTGCCTATTAATCAGGAAGCATCTAAGTATCTCGATCCTCGGATCAAGTTCGATATTTTCTCGGTTCGATCTCGTATGGTGGTCGCGTGAACCATAACTGAACCAGCCCCGGTTCGCATCATTGATCGAGCCGTTTGTTGACCGATGAACCAACTTCCTACACCGTCATTAATATCGATGCAACCGATAGTACGATGGCCGATCAGCTGGCAGGTGTTGTTTGATCTGCATAAGCCAACGTCACCGAAAAAGCAAACCGAAACCGGTGTCGACGAAGAGCGTGCGCGCTACCATGCGAGAATATCGTTTCCCTCGAGTTATGCTTGTCGGCTGCGTGGCGTCCAATCTCGAGGCGCCGTGACGCCAGTTCGTATTCGAGTGGTTCCTTGACGAGAAAGGAGAAACAGCTCGATCACGCGTTTCTCGATCTTCCGGTTTTATTTTTCTATCCGACGCGATATTCGTTTTTCCGGAGGTTCCCAGCAGGTGCAAACGATTTTTACACGCTGCTAAAGAAAAATCTCGAGTGTTGCAGCACGTTCACAGTGATCGTTATTACACATTCTTGGTAACTTCGACAAGTTACTTTTCTGAAAACTCTCTGTTTAATGTCATCTTTATATCGTCTTAATATAATCTAAGTATAATCGAAGTTTGACCAAATTATTTTAGTTGTTAACTATCTTTTTGTCGATGTCTGTTAGTCGAAGTTTCAGTTCGTTGCGTTTCAAAACGCTGAGAAATCGAATTTCTTCCAGAGGCGTCAGTATTCTTCGTTTTCTTCTTTACTCCACTTTTGTGCCTTTTTCTCACTTTTCTCCTCTTTCGTTACCACATTCTTCCGTTCTGCTTCAGAATGCAACACCGATACACTTGCCGTGGGCGGTTATTTTGAGCGTTTCTTAGAGGGAAGCGCAGGTTTGTCGTGCTTCTAAAATTACGTACACGCTAATACTAGAGGGGGTGGAAGCACACTCACCAAGCGGCTGTCGCAAAACTGACATTGACGCGTTTCCAAATGTCCAATTTCCTCTGTGAGCCATTGCACATGGATAAACTGACTCTTTATTCTAGGGTCGCACACCGTTCGGGGAGCCCGACAAAGTGGAAAAAATTGGCGATACGTACCTGCCACACTCCATCTTCTTTGAATATATAAACGGCCTGAGAACATCCAAATTTGCGTGAGTTGTACCCTAAATTTCACTATTTACAGTGGGCGTACAAAAGTTCCGCTTTTAATAAATAAATATTAAATATTAGCCATTAAACTAGCCTAGTCTAGTTAAACTTGTTAACAAAAATTCTCTTAATTTACACGTTTAATTATCGGATACTTTTGCACGTCGTTTTATACTATATTGTTTATTTATACTTATTAGTTGTTCTTCAATTGTATACAGGCCAGGCACTTACAATCTCTTCAAACATAACTGCAACTGCTTCACAAACGAAGTCAGCAATTTTCTAGTGGGCCGAGATATTCCGAGATACATCCTCGATTTGCCAGAAGAGATACTTAAAACGTTAGCATATGCTATATTTCGTTATATGACTAATCGTACCGGTATTTGATATCTCAACCGTAATGTATTTTTGTCTTAACAAATAAAATATTTAATTCATTACACTTTTAAAATGTGACTGGTTTCTCCATCGCGTAGTTTCCGTAGACCAATTTTTTGAAAATTATGCAAGTTTGTGTGGTTTTATTACCGGTGCAGAATCTTATTTGGCATTTTTTTCGTGATTTGGAATTATTGCTTGGACTACTTGATGTTTGTTCTTGTAAATTTTCCTTTTCTTCGTTAAGAAATTCGTGATACTCTGTGATGAGCTCATCTGCTAATTGTAACAGAAAACGCTGTCTTGGTATCTTTATTCTAGTTAGGATATTGAAAAATACATGTACAGGCCATCTATTGCATTTTGACTTGATTTTCGCGCCATTTAGTCAATCACATCGACGCCAAATTTTTAATAACTGTTTTGTGTGTTCGCTTTCTACTGTTTTTGGTTTTTGACGCATTTATGCTTCAGACTTAGTATTATGAATTAGATAAATATCAAGTTAAGAGAAAAACGGAAAGCGAGAAATTAAACAATCAGATAACATAAGAATTTACAGAAAGTCAGTTGAGCGAAAGAAGTAAAAATAAATGTCCAATTATAAAGTAAATTTTGAAAAATTTGACCCCACTTGGTACGTTTAGTGTTAAGAATTGTATTAATAAATGTTCTATTTTATTTTATTGTGTATAAATTTCTATTGTTTAGGCCAATTGGGCAACAGGTTAGAGAACTTATAGAAAGCCTGTGCAGCAACGCGAGTAAAGCATTTATAGTTAATCAAACATTTCTTGAAGCAAGAAATCATAGAGAGGTTTCGCCGGAATATCAACTTTTAAATGAGGCTATTGAAGAAGCAAGGTAAAATTGTTATTCGCAAAGTTTTGCGGGTCCTCTTTCTTTCTTTTTTATTATCTTTCTCATGATGTAAAAATTGTTGTAGATTAAATTCGATTGCGCTAGAAGAGAGGAGAAAAGAGATCTACGAAAAACTCGGGAAAAAACATAAGGAGAAAAAGAAGAAGGAAAAGGAGAAGAAACAGAAAAGAAATAAAGATAGTGGTGCAAGTCCTCCTAGTAACAATACACATATGACGGAAAGCGAAAGTACAATTTTACAAAATAGGATATACATTTTTTCAACAGTTTATCCATCTTTTTTTTAACTCATTTATTATTTTGATATGAATTTAGGTGCACTAGCCCTGAGCGAGATGCAGGCTTCGAATGGTGAGAATACAGAAGTGCTACCATCGGAGAGAGTTATGCAAATGCAAGAAGAGGAAAAGAAGGAATTGGAAGAAAGAAAACGTCGTCGAGATCCTCCTATTGTATTTAAGGATTCAATAGACATCAAGGAGGAATATCAGGCATTAGTCAAGTTGTTGGAAGGAAAATTGAACGAAGAGGAACGAGTAAGCATGGACGAACTTCGGCAGTATGTTCTAGAGAACGAAGGTTCTTGGGCACTTGGAGATAACTTCTTAAATTTCGTAGGTAAGTCGATGAACAATAGTGATCTTCGTTGAAATGATATTTATCAAAGAACATCTATGTATTTAGGACGAGTTCTATACGATAAATCTTTGGAAAGCGATGCAAGAGTGAAATTATTGAATATACTTTCCGTTGCTGCGTTAAAGGACGATGTAATTCTTTTACTGCACCAGGATAGAAGAGAGCATATAATTATGAATTATGCTTACGATATTGATCGTCATCCTCAGGAGGAACAACTTCCCCTTGCACAATTTGTAAGCAAACTGAACTCCTGTGTACAGCGATAAAGTTAACGAGTTTTTAATTTTTAATTATATATTATAGTTGGCAAACATGTTCGAAAATCTTAGTAGTTCGGAATGGCTGTTATATATATCGGAATGGCAACATCAGGTTCAAAATATCAGTAACATAAGGGTGACGACCAAAGTCGCGGTGCATTCGTTGCTTTCAAATTTGATCGACTTGCAAATTCGTGGTGCCGCTATTATTCACAACCTTGCCTGCAAGGAGGTAAAAACTGTGGTCTGTATCCTTCCTATCCGATTAACAATTTCCCATTCAGTTTGCTTTTGTTTTAACTCGCATCAGCCAGAGTGTTACGCATTTCATTTTCATATGAAAACAAAGAAAAAGAAAGAAAAGGAACTAACTCTCAGTGTTCAATCTAAGGTAACAAACTGCGTTATTTGCAATGTCACTTAACAAATGCTTTTACTATCAATTTTGAACAAGGCAACAATGAAGGTGACGCTTTCACTATTCTTGCAAATAGAAGTGCTGCCTTTATTAATAATAAATCAGTTGTACTTGTAAAACTCAGTCGAGGTTCTTAACCGTGTATCAAATTTGGTAACTGGTTCACAAACGAGCAACGAAATTTTCTCAAAAACAATTTCCTATTATAAATAGTAATGATTCAGAAAATATATAAATACTTCTCATTGCTCGTTTGTATATTTATACATGTGTACGATATTGCGATGCAGTTGGAATTAATGGATACCTATCGAGAGACCGGATACTATTTTTTCAGAAAATGAACAAAATCAAAAATCTGCGGCGACTTTTACCAAAAGGCAGCATTTCTAAGGTACTTGTCTAAACATGTATGTATAATTTAACCGTACATTACGGTAAGTTGCCCACTTCCACAATTATATTTGCATTTTAATGAATTGCTTAAATGCGCATTTCATAAGTACAAATAATACGATTTAAATAAATCTACATTAATTACCATCGTCCTCGATTTACTTTTATTTCGTGCATCGAGTAATTAAAAAGGGAAATAATTAATTCGGATAGTGATTTGTTTGATTGTTCTTGTTCTTTTATGATTAAAGGAATGAATCTTTTGTATTGTCTACCGCCTTTACCAGCTGCTTTGCAGATATACCATTAAAAAATCATGATTTTATTTTAATCGTTTCCCATCTTGTAAAATGCATAGGTGTTCGATGATGTCGCCGTAGAATTGACAATGGCATTGCTACAATATTTCAATGGCAGTCCAGCCGAGGAACAGCTGTTCGCCTGCATGAAGTCATTGGCACGTTTCACGCAAATCAGCGGCCAAGATGTACCACAACTTATTCAAATGATTGGGCCAGAACCAAATAAATTTCGCGGAACATCTGAGAGGATCGACAAGGAAATTGATCAGGTCAACAAGATGTTGCGTTAACGCAACGCAATTTGTCACAATCGCATTAATAAAAGAAATAAAACTGATTTTTTACATAGAAATTTTATTGACAATATGTGCATATAATATATTATTAAAATTATTAGTTATTGTTGTCATTTAATAAGAATATTATAATTATTACTATTATTATAATTATATTGCCATTATTGAAAATTTTAGTACTTTTTACTTTCACCTATATATGTACATGCGCTGTGTAACATAATATGTTGTCTACTGCTAAAACTAAGAGAACTATTTTAATAATAGTTGATTTCATTGAAACGTCAAAAACATGTTATTGTTCAGTTTAAATATATACATCCAGTTATTTCTCAAATTGATACACGTATAATATGTAAAAATTACTCGTATAGAAGCTTTTTCATTATGTTTCATGTCCAAACATATACTTACAAATGTAAATAGATATTTGTGATCAAAATAACGATAACGAATCGACATAGGGTAACGCACGTGAAAACTATATGTACTATAACCAGAACGCCAGTAATATCTTAATTTACGCGATGAATCTGAAACGTAGTAGCAGCGCAATAAGCCGTTGGCACTGAATCACTTTTCCTCGATTCTTGAAATTTCCCTTGTTGATCTCCAGCAAATTTGCGTAAGCGTATAGGCGAATTAACATGTTGTATCTAATTTGTGCCGCCTTAAACTCCGTCTGAGGCTAAAGATAGACGCGATAAGTATAGTATAAGCATGTCTCTGCTATTTAAGGTTGGTCATGACCCAACGCTTTTGTCCTTAGTTAGTAATTTTTATCAATGTACCAACAAGAATCGCGCGTAAAACAACTTAATAGTTTTAGTAGCATGTGATGGCAATTCTGTTGGCGCCAAATGTTTGCCGTAAGATTTAACGGGAGACACATCAAATGATAACAATTTAGAAACGATGAAAATATGCTGATAGGGAGGTAGAACCGCGTTTATGTTTTCAGTGTATGAACATAATACCGTAAAGTGCACAATCAGTTTGTAACACGGCTCGTACAAGTCAACTTCCTTGCCTTCTTGCTTTGAACCCAGTTTCCATATCGCTGTGATGTGATAGAACAAAAAGCATTCATAGTTAATTAGTCGCTAAGTATAAAGTAGTTTTAAATATATTTTATTTTGCAAAAAAAAAATGTCTGCGACTACAAAAGAAGCTGTACCGTTGGAGGAACATATGATGCCAAAGAAAGGAAACGATAAATCGAATTGTTCGATCGTTAAGTACGTAACGATATTAAATTGGTTGCCGAGGTACTCTCGTTTGGATGCTATCTCGGATCTTGTAGCTGGATTTTCGCTAGGATTAACCCTGATCCCCCAAAGTATCGCATACGCTGCATTAGCAGGTTTAACAGCTCAGGTATTTCAACCATTTATAGCAAATCTTATTCATTTCTTTTTCATATTTTTAAACACATTTTTACACGATATTCTAAACGACATTTACAAATATTTTTTATTTGAACACATAGCAATCGTTTGCACGGTTGCATTAACTTTTCAGTCATTTGCAGTCGTATAGCAATAAAAGATATTAACTTAAATTTATCTGTATCAAGTGCACAGCATATAACAATAAAGAAATTTTGAAAAGATTCTGCTTTCATGACAAATGAAAAATAATATCATTTAAAGTTTTTTAAATAAAACCATATATATACTTTTTATTTTTGTTATTTTTTGTAGTTAAATATTGTTACGGATCTTATAATAATATAAAATATTTTTACGTTAAATAAAATTATATTCAAAGTTAATTTATGGAGTAATTTTTGAAATGTTGTGGTATTTGACTCGGGAAGATCAATCTTTTATCTTTTGTCGAGTGAATGACCTTTTTCCGGTATTCATATATGAAAATTGTCAAATTTTGTTTCACAATTACTGTTTTATTTTTTAATTTATTTAAAATTCTATCACACGTAACTGAAAATATTTCATATAAATTGAAATTTCATGCCTCAGTTTAGTAAATATGTTAATAAAAATGAAAGAATATTTTTTATGATTGCAAAAATTGTTGAACTTCCACAAATTTTTTAAAAATATTTTACTTTACGTAATATCTTCTTAAAAACCGATTTATATGGTGATATTTAAAATAAAAATGCTTTTATGTATTTTATATTTACCTTTATGTTTATGAAAAAAAAAAAAAAAA